GAGTTGGACTGTGAAGAAAGTTGAGCGCCAAAGAATTGATGCTTTTGAACTGTGATGTTGAAGACTCTTGAGAGTCCCTTGGACTGCAAGGAGATCAGTCCTGGGTGTTCATTGAAAGGACTGATGCTGAAGCTGAAACTCCAATACTTTGGCCATATCATGGGAAAAGTTGACTCATTGGAAAAGACCCGGATGCTGGGAGGGATTGGGGGCAGGAGGAGAAGGGGACAACAGAAGATGAGATGGCTGGATGGCATCACCAACTCGATGGACATGAGTTTGAGTAAACCCTGGGAGTTGGTGATGCACAGGGAGGCCTGGCGTGCTGCGATTCATGGGGTCACAAAGAGTAGGACACGACTGAGCGACTGAAATGAACTGATCATAAAATGGTGCTGGATTTTATCTAATGCCTTTTTTGAGTTGATTGAGATGATCATGTGGTTTTTGTCCTTTATTCTACTGATGCATCACATTAATTAATTTTCAGATGTTAAACCACTCTTTCATTCGTATGATAAATCTCATTTGGTCATCATGTGTAATCCTTTTATAAATTGCTGATTTCAATTACTTTTGTATTTTGTTGAGGAATTTTCCATCTATATCCACAAGATATTGGTACTCCAGCAATTCTTCTCTCCCTCACTTGCACCATCATTGCTATTTTGTCTCCCAACTTAAAAAAATAAAACTCTCTCTTTACCTGACTCCCCACTCCAGCTACTGTCCCATTTCTGTTTCCCTTTACAGCCAACTTCTTGAAAGAGTTGGCTTTGCTCACACTTCAGTTCCCCCCTTTCGTCCTTTCTCATGCCCACTATCATCTGGTTTTACCCCCAGGACTCCACAAAAACCACCCTTGTCCAAGTTGCCAGTGAACTGTGCTCTCCACCTGTTCTCTCTTGGCTGATCTACCAGCAGTTCATAGACACGTTTTCCTTAGGTGGTCTCTTCACTCAGTTCAGGAACCACAGTCACTCCCCGCTCTCCTCAGCCCCCTGCTGGCCCCTCCTCTCTTCCTGCCCTCCTACTTGAGGGCAGCTCAGGGCTCAGCCCGGGTCCTCTGCGGTCTCTTCACTAGCTTCATGATGTCTCATCCAGACTCATGGCTTCAAAACCCCATCTATGTGTCAATGGCTCCCAAATTCCCTTTCCAGCCCTGTCCTCCCTTCTGATCTCTAGCCTTAACTGTCAGACTGCCTACTTGATACCTAAACTTGAGCCTCTAACAGGGACCCCAGACTAAAGTCCAAAGTGAACTCTCCATTTTCCTTCCAAACAACTGCACTTCTCTTTTCTCTCTTGTCTCAGTGAATGACTAATCCATCCTTCCAGCTGGCTTAGGTCAAACACCTTTGACTTCTCTCATTCTCTTACACCTTTCACCCTTTCCAGTGAGGGGAGTACTATTGGCTCTACCTTTAAAATATATCAAGAAATCTATTATTCCTCATCACCAGTGCCATCTGGAGCCAAGCCACCATCATCTCTTACCTGCATGATTGTATAATGAGCTCCTAACTGGTCTCCCTGTTTCTGTCTTTGCTTCTTTCATCCATTCTCAACCCAGCAGCCAGAGGGACCCTGTTGGAACCTGAGTCAGACTCAGCCACTGCTCTGTTCAAGACCTGCCAATGGTACCACCTCGCCAGAGTCATCACTGTGACAAGGCCCTCCTGATTTACCAGCCCCTACCTCCTCTCTCCCCCTTCACAGATTGCTCTAGTCATGCTGGCTTCCTTACTGCTCTTCCAACACGGACACCCCTGTCTCTACTTTCAAAACTCTCTGCCCAGATATATGTGTAATCACCCTTTCATCTCCTTTAGTCAAATGTCACTATACACTGAACCCTCCATCACTCCCACTTGCCCTCCCCATCCCAACTTGTTTGCTGTCTGTTTTCTTTCCTAGAATGTGTGCTCCACAAGGGCAGGGACCTTGTCTGTCCTACTCATTGCTGTGATTCCAGCCCCTAGAACACGTCCTCCAGTGAATGACTGGCTGGTTGAATGAATGAATGCCCAGACAAGAGGCACTCTATCAGGGCCACTCCTGTGCAGGCCATCAGCAGTAACCAGCTCCCCTGACCCACTGACCAGCCCCATTTTCTCTTTGGGGCAGCCAGGCTCTCCCCTGCCTGCAGTAGGCATGTTGCCCATTTGTGCCTGTCAGAGGTGGTCGCTTTCTGCCAGAACAAACATGCTTGAAAGGGTTCACAGGCTCCGTTATTAAACAGTGAAAGAAGGGCTGATCCTCTAAGCCTCCTTTGCAGGGGGACCCAGGCTAATAACAGCTTTGCCAGGAAACCTGCAGAGGCGGATGAAGCCCCCCCTTCGAGAGCCCACACTTGCCTGGACATGTCTGTCACCGCTAACCCCTGGGATTTCTGCGTTTCCTCTATACTTCTGGTCGAAAGGAGATAAGCGCCTTTGATGGTGGTTCCTGTTTAAATTCTTGTGAGTTCTTCGGCACACAGTGCACTGCCTGAGAAGTCTGTAAACGCTGGGGGAAGAAGGCTGGGGGAGGGCGAATCTGGATTCTATGTGGGATTCTGCAAACGGTCCCCATTCGGCAAGCACAGAGACAGACAGACAAGCACATGTGTCCATGGAGTCAACACACCCTGAGTACAGGTAGACCATGTGTGATGTGACAGTGTCCTGATGGGCTGGGACTGAGCACAGCTTCAGAAGTCAGAACAACTGCCTGTTTCTCAGTTCCAGATGACTAGCTCTGTCATCTTGGGCAAATTATTTAGCCTCTTTGACCTTTAGCTTCTTTCCTTTCTTGGTTCTATTTAGTTTTTGATTTTTTAATATAGTGAAATATGCAGACATTCAAAAAGTATTTAAAGCACATATCCACAGAGATGCATAGTATTAAAAATGCATACCTGTGTAACTAGGCCTGCTATCCTGACTTTACAGCATTCATCTCTTTGTTTGACTTTATATTTTTTGCTGCCTAATTATTTGGCCATAAATAGTATAATTTCCCTCTGCCCTATTTTCTAAAAATTTTTATTTTTATTATTCCCCAACACATGTGGGATCTTAGTTCCCCAAGCAGGGATTGAACCTGCATGGAAGCTCTGGATCGCCATGGAAGTTCCATCTTTCTGCCCTATTTTTGACTTTATATAAACGGAATTGCTGCCCTAGTCTCACAGTATGACTTCATATAAATGGAATTCCTGTTCTAGTCTCACAGTATGTTTTTAGGGTTTATACATATTGTTGGGTAGAGCTGTCGTTCATTCATTCTCACTGCTGTAGAGTATTCTGTTGTAAGAATGAATCGTTTATTTCTCCATTGCATTGCTGCTAAACACGTGGTGCTTTCTGTAACTCATTCAAAGAGCCTCTTCCTAGCCAAGATCATGGCAATGTTCTCCTTTCCCTAGTGCTCAAAGGTGCCACCTAAAAGTCCAGCTGCATAGGTGTCTTCTCTGGGTTCTATTCTCCTCCACTGGGTCACTTTCAACTACCTTGCACCAAAAGGAGCCTGTAGAGGCTGCAGAAGTTCCTGGGTGGGCTTAAGTATTCCCAGGCCATTAAACTGGGGCTGTGGGTCAAAGGCGCCATGATCACCAGGGGGTAGGGAGGCCATGGCTAACAGGGTGAGGCCACTTAGGAAGCCCCAAAGGTAAGCTTCTGCCCCGGCCTGGATAGTGCATCAATCAAATACTATGCAACATGGAGAGACAGGATGTTCATGGCTCGTGTGGTTAGGACACGGCTGGTCCTGTCTCCATACTCAGTGGCAAGTGGGTGGCCCCAGCCCAGCCAACATGGTGATCCTTCTAGAAGCCCTTTCCATGATGACTGCACAGGGACACCGACCTACAGAGACAGCACCTGTACAGCTGGGCATCACCATTGCTTTCTGTGCCCCATGTCCAGACCTTCAGCACACCCTGCAGCCCCATCTTCAGGATAAGTCTCAGCTGACCGTTCTCCATGTCTCCTCCATTCTCACTCATGCCCAGGCCCCGCATCCTTGTCAGATGAGAGTCTCAGCCTTGTCCTTCTATGGCCCACCATTCACACAGCAGCCAGAGGGCTCTTATAAGTCAAATAGTGTCTGTCTCCTGTTCAGAGCTCTCCCTGGTGTTCCATCAATTTAGAAGGAAATCTGAAATACCCACTATATCCCCAAGGGTTCAGGTCCTCCATCTTCCTGTCCTCACTCTTTCAGACCCTCTGATGTTCCTGAGAGTCCTCGTGTTTCCATGGCCCTTTCCCAACCCTTTGCACTCACTGGTCCCTCTGCCTGCATCTCTTTTCCATATCCTCGACTTTCCCAGTGACGTTATTAAGTTGACTTTATAAAGTCTGTCCTTCCGTGTGGCTCTACTTGGCTCCCTTCATTTCTCTCCAGGGGACATCATAAGTCACCTTTACTTGCCTATCATCTGTCTCTCCCAGGACAAGGGAAAGGAGAGGGGAGGGTAGAGGCATCCTCTGGTTTAATTCTTAGCACCTGGAATACCACTCCATACACGGCAGGTACCCAATAAAAGTGTAGAATAAATGAGCAGGTGAGTAAATGGCAACTTTTGTTTCAGGTCAGGTCCAGGGCTGTGTAGGCCATGAAGGGGCCACAAGTTGCATCAGAGGGAAGGACTTGGTACCTCACCATCCAATATGAACCTGAGTGCTTACTTCTGGCCTCAGACACACCCAACACTCAGAAAGGATCTGGACACAGAGGGAAGCACACACAAACCACAGGACTTTCGGGTTAGAAGAGGGCACATTTTTGAAAAGTGGCCCAAGTCTCCACTGCTAGGACCTGCTTGGTCCACCAAGGGTCCTGAGGACCGGCAGCAGAAAAGGACAACACTGCCTGTCTGTCCGCTGCCGCAGGAAGCATGGGACGCAGCCAGCAAGTCCTGAGACAGAGGGATCTTGCAGGCTCAGTGTGGGGAGGAGGGGCGTGATTACCTGAAGGCAAGGGTTCTAGAGGGTGAGCATGCGCGCTACGGGCAGTACCTCGGCCAAACGGGGCCCAGATGACCCGGCGGATGGCCTGCACCCAGTCTTCCATGTCCCGCTGGGAGCTGGCCATGAGCAGGAGCGCCTCGGGGTTGGCCGGCACCTTCTCCCGCTCCCCGGCACCACCTGCAAGACAGAGAGAACAGGCTTACTGCAGGCACCCGGGCAGACACGGGGTGCCTCCCCCACAGGGCTCTCTCTGGCCCAACACCAGGTGGCTTTCATTCCCTGGGGTGTGAGACGGCCGTCTCTCCAAAAACCATTCAGCAGCAGCTGTGCTTTCTGGTTCTATATTTGCACATCTTCATACCTCGCACATCTGTCTTTGGGGCCCTCTTGGGTTTCTCCCTTAGCCTTCTTGGTTATTTTTCCCTATTATTAAAATCATCCTGGGGTACTATTAGAAAAAAGCATGCAGATTTGACAGCAGCTCAGAGAAGCTCAGACACCAGAGGAGCTTCAGTACGTATTTTGTTAAATCAACTTTACACATCTTTAACCTTAATGTCACTAAGTGCTTTTAACATGGGCTGTGACATCACAGCCTGCTCTCCCATCCCTGAAAGCAAGGCCTGATTCTTTACATGTATTAAAGTTACAAAGGGAATTCTCTGGCAGTCCAGTGGTTAGAATTTTGCATTTCCACTGACGGGACTCTGGGTTCAACTCCCATTAAGAGAAATAACATCCTGCAAGCCGTGCAGTGCAGACAAAAAGAAAAAAATTTTTTTAATTTACTGAGATGATATTAAACCAGGATGAAGCAAATACTCCAGAATTCTCCACCTGTCCCCACTCACAGCTAGATACTGGATTATTATCCAAAGGCAGAAAGATAGGAATGCCCAGACAGTTTTTGATGAATTGACTTTTTCTACAGTAGCTCCAGAGGTCCTTGAGTTTTCATGTGCAAGTGAATTAATTTTGGAGATATACCTAAAACAATTTATACTGAACTGAGGTCTATAAAGTACAGGCAATTTAAGGGATTTTTAAGAATAATCTTATCTTTATGGCCCGCCCCATAGCATATAACTCACTGTTACTTGCTAAGGTCCCAGAACCTCAGACCCTAAGTGGGTTTACCTGCTGATGGGGTGAGTCCCAGGCATCTCTGTTCCCAAAGGAGTGGGATGAAAGGAGAACTGTGAGACCCAGGCCATTCCTTCTGGAACCCGCAGCCCAGTGATGGAGACCAAACAGGAGTAGTGAACCAGAGCATGTATGACTCTCCTGATGAACAAAGCTGACACACATCTGTCCTTCTAGGATTCTTTAATCTTCACAATGACCCTGAGTGAGGTACTGTTACTATTTTCATTTGACAGGCAGGGAAACTGAAGCAGAGTGACTACGGGACTTCTCTGAATTCACACAGCTAATACATGGCCCAACCAGTCCATTCTAAAGGAGATCAGTCCTGGGTGTTCATTGGAAGGACTGATGCTGAAGCTGAAACTCCAGTACTCTGGCCACCCGATGTGAAAAACTGACTCATTTGAAAAGACCCTGATGCTGGGAAAGATTGAAGGTGGGAGGAGAAGGGGACAACAGAGGATGAGATGGCTGGATGGCATCACCGACATGAGTTTGAGTAGGCTCTGGGAGTCGGTGATGGACGGGGAAGCCTGGCTTGCTGCAGTCCATGGGGTCGCAAAGAGTCGGACATGACTGAGTGACTGAACTGAACTGAACTGAATACATGGCAGAGCCTGGGATTCAAAGTCCTGGGCACTGGGCTCTGATCCAGCCCACGCTCCTGTCGTTTCCCCATGAATGAGGCAGCCCGCTGGGGTCAGGCTGACAGTGACCAGAGCAAGGCAGCTGAGGACTGGGGAAACTGAGGGGGCTGCTCTGAGGGCTGGAGCATGGGATGAGATGCATCCTTGCTGAGACGATACACATGAGGCCTGGAGGCAGGGTAAAAGGAAAGCGTGCTGATGGGGCCCATGGAGCCTAAAGCTCAGAAGAGCAGTGAGCCAGGGTCCTAGGATGCCCTCTGAGCCCTTCAGGACACACACAGGAGTCCAACTCCTTTGGGCCCGGGCAGCAATGCAGAGGCAGAGAGGAAGGAAGCTTGAAGCAGAGACAGCAGAGCCTGGAGCCCAAGAGACAGTGAGGGCCAATGGAAAACAAAGACTGGGGGCATGGCTGGGGCAGCCGTGTGGTCATTCACAGGGCAAGGGCACCACTACTGAGAAGGGATGGCTCTGCATCCTTAGGAGTCAACACAACATGCACTATGAGGCCGGGCTGGCTGTGTGTGGGGACGGGACGGTTTCCTATCTTTGCTTTTCTGGAGCAACATCCCAAAATAACTCACAAGAAAAGGACCTGGAGATCGACGGCTCCAAGAATCTGTTGTGGTTACTTGTTTGTCCTAAATGAATACTCAGGTTTGTATATAACTGGAATTTCTCATTTTTTCACTTCTTTTTTTCTAAAGACGGTGACCCACGTCAAATAAGCTCAAAACCTGGCTCTGCCCTTCCCGCAGGTTGACAGATTCTCTCACGTCCAGTTGCACCTCAGCCTAGGGTCTTGCTCTCCTGGTGCTCTCAGCCTGCGGGTTTAACTTTTCAAGTATTTTTCATATGTGTACATTTATCTATGTGTATTTTTACATAGCATATTTAACTTTTTAAGAAATTGCCATAATCTGTTCTCCAAAGTGATTGCACTACTCTATGCTGCCACCAGCAATTATGAGGGTTCCAGTTTCTCCACTTCCTCACCAACACTTGCTGCAGCTGGTCTCTTTACTTCTAGTCATTATAATGGTTGTGTAGGGGCAGAGTATCATGTTTGAATTTGCATTTTCCAAATGACTATTGATGCTGAGTATCTTTTTATGTACTTAATTGCCATCCATGTGTCTTGTTTGGTGAAATATCTGTTGAAATCTTTTATCCATTTTAAAAATATTTATTTTTGTTTATTTGGCTGAGGTGGGTCCTAGTTGCGCCCTGCGGAGTCTAGTTCTCTGAACAGGGATCGAACCCAGGCACCCTACATTAGGAGCTGAGAGTCTTTAGCCACTGAACCACCAGGGAAGTCCCTGTCCATTTTAAAAATCGGTCGTTCATTTTTCATTATTGAGTTTTGAGAGTTCTTTACTTCTGGGTAAAAGCTCCTTATCAGATATATGCTACGTAAATTTCTCTCCCAGTCTGTGCCTTTTCTTTTCATTCTATTAACAGTGTGTTTGCAAGAGCAGAAGTGTTTAATTTGGATAAAGCTCAACTTATCCATTTTTTCTGGTTGTGTATCTAAGAAAATTTTGCTTAACCCAAGGTTATAAAAGTTTTCTCCTAGATTTTCTTCCAGAAGTTTCATGTTTTAGGGTTTATGTTTAGCCTATGAGTTAGTTTTGTAGATGGTGCAAGATAAAGCTTGGAATTCACCCTTTTATAAATGGATGTCCAGTCGTTCCAGCACCATTTGGTGAACAGACTTCCACACTGACTTGGGTACTTACACAGGTGATCATATCACCTGCAAAGAAAGACAGTTTCACTTCTTCCTTTCCAATCTGGGTGCTTTGTATCCCTGTTTCTTGCCTAATTGTGCTGACTAGAGCCTTATACCATGTTGAATAGAAGTGGTAAGAGTGGACATCTTATCTTATTCTTGACCTTAGAGGAAAAGCATTCAACTTATCACCATTAAGTATATCTGCTGCAGGTTTCTTACTGATGTCCTTTCTCGGGCTGAGGAACTTCTATTTCCAGTTTGCTGGTGAGTTTTTTGTTTTTGTTTTTTAACAGAAATTGATGTTGCTGTTTTGTCAAATGCTTTTTTCTCTAGTTTTTGAAAAACCGCATTTTATGTTTTTAGTTTGTTATTATAGTGAATTACGCTCAGAGATTTTCAAATGTTAAACTACCTTTGCATTCCTGAAATCCCAACTGGTCATGATGTATTGTCCTTTTTATTATTGCTGGGTTCAATTTACTAAAATATTGTGGAGAATTTTTCAACTGTATTCACAAAGAATATTGGTAGGCCGTTTTCTTTTATGTCTTATTTGGGTATCAGGGTAATACGGGTTTCACAGAATAAGCTGGTAAGTATTCCCTCTTTTTCAATATTTTTGGAAGAGTCTGTGTAGAGTTGCCATTGTTTTTAATATTTGGTAGAATTCATTGTGGGAAGGTTTTTAATAACAAATTAAATTTCTCTAATATAGATACCTATTTCTTTTGAGTGAGCTTTATAGTTTGTGTCTTTCAAGGAATTTGTCTGTTTCATCTAAGTTGTTGACTTTATTGACATAAAGTTGTTCAGAATATTCCTTTACTGTGTTTTTAGTATTTGAAGAGTCTAGTGATGTCAACTCTCTCATTTCTATTATTGGTAATTTGTGTCTTCTCTGTTCCCCTAGTTAGTCCTCTAGACGCTTACTGATTTTATCAACCTCAAAAAAGAGATTTTTGTTTTACTGACTTTATGTCTTTGTTTTTCTGGTTAGCAACCTTTGAAAGGGCTAGAGTAAATATTTTAGGTTTTCAGGCCATATGGTCTCTGCCAAAACTACGTACTCTGCTGTTGTAGTTAAAAAGCAGCCACAGACAACATGTAAGTGAAAGGGCAGGGCTGTGTGTTTATGTACAAATTTGATTTCAAAAAGGGGAAGCCAGTCCACAGGTTGTAGTTTGCCAACTTGTGTTGTATCTCATTAATTTACACTCTGATCTTAATTGCTTCTCTTCATCTGTTCACTTTGTGTTTAATTTGGTCTTATTTTTCTAGTGTCTTACAGTATTTAGTATTATAATTGCCCCCTTAGTACGCTTTAGAGGCATGCACAAAATTTGTATATTGTTTTTTTCATCTTTATTCAGCTCAAAATGTCTTATCCTTTGGATTTCTTCTTTGACATATGCATTATTTAGAAATGTGTTATTTCCAAGTTTGGGAGGATTTTCCAGAAATCTTTCTGTTAACTGATTTCTAAGTTAATTCCCTTGTTTTCAGAGAAGATACACTGTATGATTTGAACATATTTTTGGCTGTACCACACAGCTTGCAGGTCTTAGTTCCTGGACCAGGGACTAAACCAGTGCCCTTGGCAGTGAAAGCGTGAAGTCCCAACCACTGGACTGCCAGGGAATTCCCATGAACAT